GGGTGCAATGCAAAGGGGGTGCAATGCAAAAGGGGGTGAGGTGCAAAGAAGGTGCAATGCAAAACGGGTGAGGTGCAAAGAGGGTGCAGTGCAAAGGGGGTGCAATGCTAAAGGGGTGCAGTGCAAAGGGAGTGCGGTGCAAAGAAAGTGCAATGCAAAGGGGGTGCAATGCAAAAGGGGGTGCGGTGCAAAGAARGTGCAATGCAAAACGGGTGCGGTGCAAAGAGGGTGCAGTGCAAAGGGGGTGCAATGCAAAAGGGCTTGCGGTGCAAAGGGGGTGCAATGCCGAGGGGGCGCCGTGCAGAGGGCGTGCAAAGTGCAGTGCAAGGAGATTTGGAGGCTGCAATGCAAAGTAGGGTGCAATGCAAGGAGATAGGGAGGTGCAATGCAAAGGTGCATGGAGGTGAGGGTGCACGGAGGTGAGGGAGCAATGCAAAGTGCGGCACGAGGAGGTGGTGAGGGTTGCAGTGCAAAGAAAGTGCGAATAGGTGCGGGTGCAAATAGGAAGGTGCTGGTAGAAGGCGGGCAAGGAGGCAGGAGGTGCAATACACAGCAGGAGGCAGAGGCTGGACGTGATGCAGAGTGTGAAGCACGAGGTGCTCCGAGGCGTGGGTGCCATGCGGGACAGGGTGCAGAGTGTGGATCTGCAGGTGGGCACCCCTCGCGCGAGCGGGTGCCGTGGGTGTCACAGCAGGGAGCCCCTCGCAGGCAGCACGGCCGGGCTCCCTGCGGCCAGTGCAGCCCCGTGTCCCTGCCTGTCCCAGGCCTTCCCGCTCCAGGGAAACCCCATGCAGCTCCAATGCAGCCCAGGGGGTGGTCGGCACCGCTGGGCTCGGCCCCCCCGTGCCCCTCGGTTCCACTGGGCCCTTCTCAAGCAGGGCTGCACAGCCAGAGCGCTCCCACACGCAGGAGTTTTGAACTGGGGCAGTAGCTAAGTAGAAATCACGTCCCATCCTTTGGCAGAGGTGCAGCCCCCGCAGCTGCACAGGGCTTGGATGGTCACGCCGGCTGCTTATAACTGATTTCATTTTTGTTTTAAGTTGGCACCGTCCATCTTCCTGGCAGAGGAAGCATCGTCCCTGCGGCAGGGATGTGCTGGAAGAGATGAGCAGCCGCTGCGAGTGGAGAAGTCGCGTGAATCAGCGGCAGGAGCAGGAACCGGCAAAGTGCGTCAGTGCCTCCCTGCTGCCGGCCGTGTCCCGGGGCATCGCACTGAGCTGCTCTAGGTATTAAGCAAGAATTCCCGAGGGCTTCCCATTTTGCAAGAGCTTAATCATATCTGGGTGGGAAGCCCAATGCGTGACGCTTCGCACTTGTCCAGGCTGGGTGCTTGGAACACCGTTGGACACCCACGACGGATGCATTTGCACGTGCACGTGCACTTGCACTGGGTTTCTTTCCAAAACCGTTCCCAAAGTGAAAACTGGTGCAGTGTTCCCTTGAAATAACTGGGTCGGATTTTTCCGCCTCCTCACGCCTGGATCAGTCCACAGCCGTGGGTCAGCCAGAGCTCTCTGCTTCCCAACGGTTGCACGTTTGCCAGCAGCGGATGCGGCAGCAAATTAACTTCTCCCTGCTTTGGTAGCCTACTTTTGTGGCCTGCTTGGGTGATTAATCCCAGCAGGACAGCGACTTTTCAAGCTATTGAGCAGGCTGGTGCTGTGGGGATGAGTGGAGTTGCTGCAAAATTGGGGAAAAGTGGAAAGATGAAGCTCCCCCCTGTCTCTGGGGACACGGAAATTTGGGGACCTGCTGCTGAATCCGCTTCCCCAAGGAAACTGGTGCCCATGGCAGAGTCTCGTGGCCTCGGTGCTTTTTCATTTGGTCATAGCTTGTGTGTTAGGAGGGTTATCCAGTGCCCTGCGGCTTTTTATGAGCCAGCAGAGATGCTGCAAGGCTGGGAACTTGCACCACCATCGCACCAGGAGGGCCCGTAATTAGATTTAAGCATCTTAACCTGCAAATGGAGAGCAATGAAGCAGGCACATGGAGCCTTAAAAAGTCCAATCAGGCAAATTATGCAAGGCATAATATGCCAAAGCTTAGTTTGTTGTGTCCTGGAGAGTGAGATCAGATGTTGTGTGTAGAGCTGCCTCCCTATGTGAGCTCATCGTTGTCTTCCTCAGGCCCTGGGGACACTTTCCTTGTGTCCCTCCTTCGCCTCCAGCCCCACTACGCAGCTAGTGTTTAAATGACGGAGGATTCAGCCCTCGTGTCAAGTGAATGTGCAACACAGTAATTTTGATCAGAGAGTCTCCATGTTTTCTGGCGGATATTAATTGACCAAAAGGTGATTTTTGTTCACATTGCACCTGGTAAACCCATGCAGAGCCCCAGGAGGGCTGTGTTTTCTGAAGCCATGGGAGGACCGAGTGGCCAGGGTGTTGAGCGAGCCCAGGAGCCCTTTTGCACGTGCAGAAATCTGCTGCTTGTGTCACAGCAAGCAGCCTCTGTGGGCACCCACGTACGCGTGTGCTGTGACTTCCCACCTGCCGCATGGGCTGTGAACCCGAACTTCTCCCTTCAGTTCCCTAATGCTTCTTTTTGTCAATGCTGCATTTCAGTTTTTGCTGTGCACCACATAAATCGAGGGCAGTAGAGAAGAGCTGGGTGTTTGGTGGATACTGAACTTAATGATTTCCGTATGACTTAAATTGCTCTCACTCGAATGTTTGAGGAGGGGGCAGGTCAACTCTTAGGGGCTTCCGTGCTTCTTTGCACTGAAAATCCAGCACCCTTATTCCAGAGGATGCTCTTGGAGATAGCGCTTACACAACATGGAATTGGATGTGGGACTCTGCCTGCTTCCAGTTTCTTTGTGGCTGTGGGTTTCCTTAAATGCCGCCTCTTTGAAATGCAGAATGAGGAAGTACCCAGAGCTCTCCTTGACTTCTGCTGTTGTGTCTGTCACCGGCTCTCAAACAGCGCAGCGTCGCCTGCCCCAGTTTCTTCAAAACTTGTGTGTCAAGGGCATCTGAAACCTGCACAATTTCTCTGTGCAGAGCTTTAGATCCTCCCTGGAGGAGGCAACTGAGAAAAGCGGATGAAACCCTGTTGTAAGAATGATTGTGATGGCTCCTGAGGTTCTTTATTTAATTAAAAGAGCCTGGATGGATGTAGAGGCAACAGTTAACAGTTGTCTTCTCCAGAAACTTTGGAGACAGCTCAATAAATGAATGGGATATCAGGTGAAGATAAATCACCAAAGCCTGCGCTTGGTCTGTCTTTTGTGCATGCACAGGTAGCGTGGGCAAGTCCTCGAGTTTATGTGTAACATCTGATTTAAGGGGCTTTTTGCTCCTTTTGCCCAGGGAGGAAAGGGAAGCTGCCGATTCTTCCCGTTGTGCTGCTGGGATCGCCCCGGAGCTGCAGCTTGACCTTCTCAAGGAGCGTTTCAGCTATTCGTCACACTTTATTAATAGACGTCAATATGTTTAAGTGCAGAAGTAAATGGTGTTTTAGAGAAATGGATTTACGGCCTCTGAAATACTGATTTTCCCTCGGCCGTGCGGGAGGGCACAAGTCTGATCCCGGGATTCCGGGCACAAGTCGGATCCCGGGATTCCGGGCACAAGTCGGATCCCGGGATTCCGCCTTCTCTGTCCTCCCCAGGCCCGGCGGCCCAGGCAGCGCTGGCAGGACGCGCAGGGCAGTTTCTTGCAAACACTGCCACCGCCTGGCTCTTTGCACGGTTGTTCTTTTTTCCCCTAAAAACTTAACTTTTGGCCAGCCGTGCTGGTTTGCAGGAGACGCCGATAGTCAGGCTGAAGGCTGACCCTTGGGTAATTAGGTTGATTAGGTTTCCCCCGGGGCACTCAGGCCTGCGGCGCGGGGCTCGCGGTGGTCACGTCCCGCTGTGCCGCGGCCATCCCGGTTTGGTGACGTTTGGTGGACGCCAGACCGCGGCTGCAGGACGAGGCCACGGCCACCAGGCCTGGAGCTCACAGGGGAAGCCGGGCAGAGGGGCAGGGTTTAAGTGCACCCTCCCCCAGCTTGGATGCAGGAGGAGGAAGGCGGGAAGAGCCCTCAGGAGATGGAATGGGGATGGGGCCGGCGCCCAGAGGTGCGCAGGGCCCTCATGGAGGCGCCCTCCTCCCCTCTCTACGGACTACAACTCCCAGCAGCCCTTTCGCCACACCGCCCACCCCTCTCAGCGCCCATTGGCCGGTCCGCTCATGACGCGCTCGCCGCTCCCCGTTGGCTCTCAGCGCTGCCAATCCGGGCGCAGCGGCGGTTGGGAGGGCGGGACGAGGCGCTATTCCGGAACGCGACTTGCGCCGTTTGCGTGGGGCCGGGGCCGGCGCGGGTGAGCGGGGGGCAGTGGCGCAGTTGGCGTGGCGCATGCGCGGAGCTGCGCCGGGAGCGCAGCGGTGCGCGGCGGGGGGGCGGGGGG